ATCTAGTGCCAGTAATTATTTTTCCACTTGATTTCATTGCATACTTTAACAAAAGCTATTTTTGTTAGGGGAAATTAAGATGAAAAATCACATTTAGGTGTATAGCAGAGGGTTCTATGTGTTTGCATTAGCATCTTTTCCAAACTAATAGATTAACTAGCTAATTTTTAGTGTTTATCCAAAATAAGTTTTAAACTCTTAAAACACTAATAAACTGGCATGACAGAAGGCTTCTGTGCATTCTTTGTAGTTTAGTCACTGAAGAAAACTCATTCTGTATTGTTCTTGCTAAACCACTTAAACATAGCCTGTGTTCTCAGCATTTCCAAGAAAGAAGGAAAGAAAGAAAGAAATTGAGGCCTGGTCTAAAATATTCTAAGCAAGGTTCCCTCTAAGGTGCGCACGTGCATGGCTGTGGACAAGTAAAAGGCTAGCTGCGCGCAAACTTTTTTAGGCTGCACACCTGCCGGGAGAGGAGCTGGGCTGTGGTGTGGGACATTTATAGAAGGTAAGCTCCTCCCCGAGGCAAGGTGGAGGCAGGAGCCTGGTGTGGGCTCTGCCGGCTCCAGGAAACTACTCCGTTCCCCCACTTTGCCTCAGGGAGCGAGGAGACACGTGGCATCAGGGCCGGGGACTGGAGCAGTTCCCCAGAGCTGCCAGAGCCCGTGCCAGCTCCCAGCCCCAGCCTCCATCTCTGCCTTGCCTCACCTCAGGGAGGAGCCTGCTCCGGGGAACTGCTCCGCAGGCTCTGCTGGCTCCGGCAAAGTGCTCCACTCCCTGGCCCTGATGCCACATGCCTCCTTGCACTCTGAGGTGAAGTGGGGAAGCGGAGCAGTGTCCTGGAGCCGGCGGAGCCCACACCAGGCACCCAGGCCCCAATCCCCCAGCTCCCTAGCCCCCGGGCCCCAATCCCCCAGGCTCTGAGCCCCCAGGCCTTCAGCCTCCAGGCCCCAGGCTCCAGCCCCCACTGCCTGTCTCAGGTGAGGAGTGAGGAGCTTACCTTTGGTAAGTATCCCATGCCACGCCAAAGTGGCGCGCTCATGGACCGAACTGGCGCACTCACGGACCGCCACTCCTTAGAGGGAACATTGATTCTAAGGCATGTTGTCAAGCACTTTTCATCCATTTAAAAGAACATGTTGTGGAGCAAACACCACATCTTTCAGAGATGGTCATGCAAGGGTGTTTCAGAGAGTAATGGCAGCTTAGAAATAAAACCATTCTGTGTGCAATGAGTGGGAAAGTGCAGTGGAAAACACTGATGGTGGCATTGTTGAACACGCCTATTGTAACTATGTAGAGAAGTGATGTGCCCTAGTAAATGGTCGTTGCACAAAAAACGGTTTTATTTCATACTTGCCACTATTTTCTGAAATGCCCTCATATTCTATCTTTATCTGATCCAGTTGCCTAATCATCCACCCCACCAAAAAAGACTTGCAAGACCCAGGTTCTCAATGGATACAAATCATTCTAGGGCTTAACTGAAGTCAGTTGAACTGTAATAGTTGATTGTGCAAACCCCTCGTTTTAGATGAGACATGCCCAGGTGATATGTAGAAGATTTATAAAGCTAATGTAAGGTTTAAAGAAAAGCCTTAATGGTCAGGAATCCTGTTTATGTTCCTAGCACATCACCGGCTTGAGCTCATAACATTTTGTTTCTATGTCCTCATTTGTAGAATTGGGATAACACTTATCTATAAAAAGAGATTGTCAAGCTGAACCAATTAATGTTTGCAAAGTGTTTGAGATCCAGCACTTGATGGAGCAAAAATGTCACTGCCATCATCACTGCAGATGCTGCCTGCTGTGTTTGCACATTGGAGCACAGCTTTCTGGTAACCCCAGTGAGATGCAAGAGTCTAATTTCTTTGCCCAAATAGAGAGAAATGGAAAAATTAAAGGAACTGCAAAAATTCAAAACAACATTGTAAAAATGTTTAGCTTTCTATAATCATTTAAAAGTGCTACCTTTCAATTACACATCAAAACACAAAGTACAATCTTTAAAATAATATTGCTATTGCTTTCCTTTATAAACAAACTGAATTGTCCACAGTAATGAAATGTCCACAGTAAAAGATTTTTGTGGTTTACTAGCATGGTGCAACTTGATGTGTTTTTAAAATTGCACACTTTTTTAGCAATAACAACAGAAATAAACATAGACCAAAATATAAGGCTATTAAAAAATAAACAGGTGGCACAAATATATTCATGTAGGGACCAGGTGGAGATTTCTGAAATTTTAGTGGCATCCTCATTTCTGCTTAATAAATAAAAGGTAAGCTAACAAAAAATAAATTAAATAAATAAAGAGTAAAGGATTTTCAGTTTTGTAGATACCAACTTAAATTTCTTTATTGGAAACTGTAGCAGACATACCAGTTAAAGTTAGACAGAGGTATATTTTGTTCTTTAGAACAGGAAGTGTGGTCTGGGACTTTTTGTATTCCTTTTATTGATTAAACTAGTCAAAGGTTATTTTCAAGTCTCATCTGGAGAAAATAGACCATAGCCAGAGTTATTGGAACAAAGAAGGTGGAAAAATATTCTGAAGAGTCATGAATTTAAAAAAATAAAATCCTTGAACTTGGAAAGTACTTGCTGGAAAAATGGAAAATCATATTAGATTTAGAAAGAACCCAGATGAAATATTTAAAAATTATAAACAAAAATTGTGACAGGTCTAAAGTAAAATTTAAAACAGCAGTTCTGTATTCAAATTCATTTCCACTGATGACCTCTTCTGTGATTTTCATGCTCATACTACTCTGGCACTGAAAGTAGTATCTTCAAAAGATATTTGTTTTGCGGATTAAAGGGATTTAAAAGTATGTCATTAGTTATTTAGTTTCCAGTGTCTTTATAAATGTGTTTGCATGCTTTGAAGTAACTTTACCACATCACAGTTGACTACTTTTCTTTTTGTCACTCCCCTATGTTATATTTCTGGCGCTTACAATACATGGATATGTTTATATTTACTATTACTTTATTTTACCTTTTCAGCTCTTGGCCTTTCTTCAGGGATTATTTACTTTTTACCACGAGGGATACGAACTGGCACAGGAGTTTGCTCCGTACAAGCAGCAGCTGCAATTCAATTTACAAAATGTAAGGCTGAGCTGTATTGACTATGCTTTTTAGCTAATTTAATATTAAGGCAATACAGGAGACCAGCATTTTTTTTATTGGAACTGTAAAACTTGAAATCTGTTGAAAGCTGAATAAGTTAAATGTATGAATAGGTGGTAAGCCTGATAGCACAAAGCTTCATTCTGTCTGGAGCCTTTGAAAATCATCTGGTTTTATAATTACTTTTTTAATCAAAAGTTTGATACATGATGTCCAGGTTTTATTATGGCAGGGTCGGGCAATTATTTCATGTGAAAGGGCTTTTACTGAGTTTTGACAAGCTGTCAAGGGTAGCCCCGCCCCTTGACAGGTGGCACACCCCCTGGTCACCGTCTTGTGACCGGACATCCTGCCCCCTAACCCCTGAGCTTTGCCACCAGAAGTCCCTCCTCTTGCCCCCAAAAGTCCTCCTTTCAGCAAGGTCTTTTGCCATCTCCGAACCAGAAAAATACAAAATTATATTCTAAAATGTGAACATCTATAACATTCATTAATTTAATTTCAAAAAATATTTTTGTCCTAGTTAACATGCATTTGTGTAGTGTACATATAGGTGATTGTATATAATAGTTTAAAATGAAGCCTTACTCTTGTATATTGTGGAGGGGGTGAGA